TTTTCCTCTCTTTTCTTGTCTGTGTTTTCGCGTGCTTATATAAACGTTTGTTTTCTAACAGAATAAGGAGAGAGAATAAAACACACACACACGTTAACTGTGTTCGTCGCTCTTCGTGAACGAGAACACTAACAAATCTCTTAGAGCTTCATTACTTTAGGTATATTGTACTAGTCTAATAATGTTAAAGAATGTGAAAACAACAAAGTAAATTCGAATATGTCTATCTTAAATGATATCGAATTCAATCTTGCAATTCTTATTCTTTCATTATTTTCTATAAATAATTGTTATTTTAATCAAAACACACATAATGTATATGTTCTTCTTCATTTTGTTTTTGTTTAATATAATAATATTGATTGAATTAACTAATTGAATGGCTATACAATATAAAACATTAATGATAGTATTATATCTCTTGAGAAAAAGACAACAATATAAGATTGAGAGTTTGATTGCCACTGATCAATATCATAATCGGATTGAATAAATAAATTAATAGGAGAGACAACGAGTGACATTAAACTATATTTTATTCTTCATTGTATTCGATTGAGATCAATATCAAACTTCGATTATTGTCATTTGAGATAGATCAATCTATATCAAAACCACATGAAACGAAATTCTGAAAAATTATCAATTGATTTTCTTTTGTCTAGATGCATTTATAAATTGATGTTAAATTATAAATTAATTGTTCAATTATATTATAATTAATATTTTTTTTAAATATTCAACTAAGAAGATTTGAAAAATTTTTATTGTTTGTTAGATAACGATTTCTAAATTCACCTATTTATTTATTATATTTAATTAAAATCCATTGTAAGAGTTCAACATAAATAATAAATGTCTTTGTCGAAAATTACTCTTCAATATTCCTTTTAATTCATCAATAATAAATATGTATATATATATGAAAGATTTCATAATTATATAAAAATATATCCTTAAATTTATTTATAATAAATCAATTTCTTACATAAAATAGTCATCTGAAAAAAGTTCATTTATTATGATAATAGAATTAAAAATAATTATTTAAAAGCATTAAGTTCATAATAGGTTTTAAGATAAACAATTAGTAAATTCTATAAAATAATTCAATCAAAAAAAGCCTTATTAGTAAAATAAATTTATTATAATAATTTGAATAGAGGATCAATCTATATCTATTTCAAAGAAGTAAATTGAATAGAATATGAGTTTGTTTGTCACATTGAATATCTTCATATGCCGATGGATCGTATATGAACTATTATCTTCAGTAATAAACAATATCCTAGTGTTATTTTCTTCGATACTGAAATCTATTTGTCTTAAAAAAGATATTATTTCAAGATAAATCGACTTGTTTGTTTGTCTCATTTGGATATATATTTATTTTAATGTTGATTTGAGAGATCAAAAGTTCAACGAGAATAAATTAATCTGTATATAATAATGAAGATTTTTTTTCAAAAGATAATATCGATAGTAAAATATAATAACAAAAAGAAGTAAGTTTGTCTATAAGAATCAATCTAGGATAAAATATTGAATTTCTTTTGAGTTGAGTGTGGGTGCGATGTAGGTGTTGATTTTCTCCTCATCCAAACCCACATCCGAGGAAACCTCACCAAGTGATTAAGAGTTTTTTAAAATGATATTTTGCCTATAAATAGGATCTGGTGATACTAGAAAAAGTCAAAAAGGATAAGCCCCTATAGGCTTTCCTTCCAGAGCTATGGCCAGTTTACTGAGTTTTCGGCTCCCATCAACCTATTTAGGAAAAAAATAAATGACGAAATAAAGAACGGAAATTTTCTATCACAGATAACAGTAAGATCAATGCAATGTAATGATTATTATCATGCGATGGTCCGTATGTTGACGAATAACTGATATATAATTAAACATCGAGTAAAGGGTGTCGGTGTGAGAACAAAAAGATACACTCACAAACACACTTATTATCACACCACACGCATGCACATCTACAACCTCATTCATACTAGAAGACATTATGCAATACTTAAATACTGATTTGATCACAGATGTAAAATTCTAGAATGTACAGGTGTGAGTGTAGGAATGGATGAATACAAGATGAATGCCGACATTCATACCCTTCTTTATATTTCAATAAAAGTAACATCCTAACGTTGTGCAAATAGAATAGATTTTGCTGTCGCTTCGCATTTTTCTATAAATAACAGACACGTGGAAAATTTGGTCTTTATCTTACAACGTAAACAGTTAGAAAAAAATTGTGTGAATATGAATGCTATTCATCTCTTCAGCAGTATCGTGTCCATAATTGGAGAGAGATCGCCTAGTTCCGTGTTTTTCCATCGAATTAGAAATGCGTCACTTCCCTTTGTACCGCTCCAACTCTGTCTACTATTGTCAAGTATATAAGACGACTTTCTTCAGAACAACAATGTAAACTGATCTATGGTCTTTAGCAATTGAAAAAAAGAATTTGGTACGTCTTTCTCTCCCATAGGATAAAACCATTTTGAAATCAATCATCTGCACAAAACCTTGAACAAAATTTGTTTTAAAAATTCTGTCATTCAGATGAAATTTCGATACCAAGAAAATTAGCTTGAAAATCAATAAAACTCCATATTATTCGATTGAACAGATACACAATTTTATTCGATCACTGGAACAATAATCATTCAAATTGTTTTTTCAAACTATAGATCACAAATCTCTCTATCTATGATTAAAACTTCGTTGGAATGACAGATCATTGTCATACAATTTTTAAATGTTTTACGAAATCATTGATTTTAAAATAATTTTGCTCTATATATTGTTGTAGAAAAAGACGTGCATATGTCTTCTCTTTCAAGAGATGAAAACCGCAGGTGACTAACTAGGTATTATAGGCTTATTCAATTTATTATCCTAGTATCTTTAATTCTCGTGTCGACATTCATTCAGAGTATGATCCAAAAACCTCGTAAAACGACAAGCTTCGAATGAAAAAGATTTTGACCTTGACAAGTAACAAGCAAAAGGGCTGTTAAACAGCTTCCAGCATAGGATTTCAATATGTTAATCAAACAACATCGGCGTTCTCAATGTTTTACTTTAAAATTCCATGACAATATGAAGTAACGAAAATAGAAGGGTACGGTGTAGGAATGTGCTAGAAGAAAAGATTAACCCTCACATCCATACCTGTATATTGAACACAACCTTTATAATAATAAACCTAGTGAAAGAATAATGTATTTGGAATAGATCCGGTAGGATCTAGTTATTCGGCATCGTCTGGCAGGCTTTATAATAGGCATCTTTTTATGACATACCTATTACAAAAAAATACGAAATAACAAAAAAAATTGAGCCGAATAAGTATTCGAAACTTAGGTGGATGATTTGAGTAGAGATCGTTTTAACCGCACAGCCATTTAGTGGTTTTAATGAATTGTAAAAATTATAAAACAATGATTATCGATATAAATTGATACGTTGAGGAATTATTTGATCTCAAGGTGTTATTATGACAATCTCTGTCATGCAATAATATTTTTGGAATAAATATCCTGGAGAAAATGAATTCAACAATAAATTAATTTATATTGACATGTATTTAGATTCATTTCACAAAAGACTTTCACAATATGCGGTATAGATAAGAAAATATCCAGCAAGTTAAAATAATCTGGTAAATCCCATCAAAAAAGTTCCACTACCCCTCAGACACGGTGGCGCCTAATAATAATTTACTATAGAGAGATAAGTCAACCACTGTAAACGAAGCATATATGTTTATTAGATCTGACACCGAAATAAGCGTAATCATCGATTTTAGCATAATAATTCCAGCTTTTCGTTTTTCGTCTTTGGATATGTCAATATATATATTCAGAAAACAAACCAGAATTTCAGAATATTAAACTTAATTTTCATCCTTGAAAAACTTATCTTCAACTTTTGTTCTCAAAAATACATAATATATAATAGAAATGTTCTATGAAAGTTCATCAGACACTTTCACAATATTTATCTAGATTAGCTCCCAATCCCCTTTTGCTGAAAATTTGGTACAGTAATCATTTAAATCCACCAGAGCTTTTATGTCTGATTTCGTAAAGATCTATGAAATGCATGCAAAATTTTCATGAAAAAAGCAGATAGATAACTAGTCTCATTTTGGGTTATTGCAAAAGATTCGGAACAGAACATTTTGTACACTATACGTTATATTCTTTACTTTCGTCTCGTTCTCTTGCTTGATACAGATCATCACAGGTAATGAACGTCATACGCTCATTACATCGCTTATCATAAGTTTCTTTTTTCGTTTTATCGCTTCCTGTTAGACATACATTCGCCAATATTACGAATTTTTCTCTTTCGTCCTGTCACAACTGACGGAGAAGAAATAAGAATGAAGAAGGTATAATGTTTTTTACGTCTCACGGTCCATCAGAACGTCCATTATATGTGGAATTGCCGTGTTCATGAGAGAGAAATGGCATCATTGATATATTCATTCGTTGTCCATTCATACACTAACACAAATGTGTCATTGTTTTCATTGACGTAATTCGGCACTGTAGAACAAGCGCATATATATGTATTTAATTGCTCACGTACTTAGTGCAAGAATTGATAGTTAAATATATGAACATGAAACATTCATCACTTCATTTAATTGATTTACCTGATGAATTACTTTTGATGATATTTAAGTATATGAAGAAAGCATTAGCATTATATTCATTAATGGGAATCAATAGACGATTCGATAGAATTTTGCAAGATCCAATTTTTGTGAGCCATTTAACATTAATGACATGTACATCAAATAGTTTTATCTATTCAATGTATAAGAAGACAATTGATCGATTTTGTTTATACATATTACCTTCAATTCATCATAAGATCAAATGGCTCAATCTTGAAATATCGTCTATGAAACGTCTTCTTGCTGTTGAATATCCAAATTTATGTGGACTTGGTCTTTGTAATATACGAGAAGAAACAGATGGATATATATTCAATGGTAAGAAAATTATTTTAGCTCTAATATTCGAAACATTGAAAATACAAATAAAGACGATTCATTTCCATAATATTGTTAATTTGATTTGTTAGATATTTACAAATTTAGTTCAATTTTTACGATCTTGTATATTAGTTGCTTATGATTATTATTATGAGGAAGGACAGAAAATAGTTAGAATAGATAAAATATTAAAAAAGGAATTTAACATTCTTATAGAATAAAAGACATGCCAAATAAGAAACAAAATATTGAAATAATTAATAAAATTCAATCTATGATTTCTGATTTTTTTCATTTATTTCTAGAAAAGAGGAAATTGTAAGGAAGTACATAAATTACAAAAATGCATTTAATCATTGATGAAAACCCATAATTACGATACAATCCAGGAAACAAACAGATATACACATTATTATGTTATGAAAAGATTAAAAAAGAAATTACCTATAATTAAATTAAGTATTGGAAGTAGTGTGCTATAGAAATGAGAACGATATTAAAAATGGATATTTCCAACAATCGTTTTGTTTTCTTTTCAAATACATTAAGATATTTACTGTAAACTCCCCCCCAGAATAAAAGGCCATGGCCTTCTATTATGGAAATTCACATCGGACTTTTCAGGGTGGTCTTCTATTAAGGGTGGCCTTCTAATAGAACTTTTATGGCAAAAACTTACAAGTTTTTTTTGTTAGTTACTGATTTTGTTTTTCGAGCTCGGCAACTTAAAATTGAAATTTGTTTAAGCTTTTTGAGCTAATGGTATCTGTAAACTAGCT